CTGTGGAGCCGCGCGGACCACGCGGGCAGCGGGACAGCCCAGACGCGCCGTGGCTATCCTGCTGCCCTCGGGCTCCGTGCCTTTGCTCTGCTCTGCTCCCCGTTCCCCTCGTCTGCAGACCAGGAGGAGGGGGAGCAGAGCAGAGCAGAGCAAAGCCGCGGAACACGCGGCCAGCTGACAGCCCAGACGCGTCTGGGCTGTCCGCGTGTTCCGCCGCTTTGCTTCCTCTCCCTGGTCTGCTGGAGACCAGGGAGAGGGAGGGCCCCGTTCGTAAGTGCGGATCCGACATAAGTCGGATCCGCGTAACTCGGGGACTGCCTGTAAACAAACAGCACTAACAAATCTCTAAATGCATTGAAGATAACTTCATAGTGATCTAATAAATGATAGCCATATTCATCAGAATGCAAAGACAGTTATGAAAATAGTGTTTGAAGTAACATGCAGGCTTTGTAACTGTTTTACCTTGTGCAGTATTCCACTGAGGCTAATGACTAGGTATTTTGTTCCTTTCAGCAAAGGAATTATTTTTAATGATTTAGCCAATAGTATGGAATGAGGCTGCTTTACAATAGTTCCTCTAGACTCTCGTTCAATTTGATCTGCCTTGGCATTATGGAGAAGGAGTGTTTCAATGAAAACCTGCAGCGCTGCATCAGTGTCCAACATGAAAGTTCTGAAAAGGGAGAAAATAGATTTATTTAAAAATCAATGTTTTGGGTGTAGATTTCATTACGAATAAATTCACAATAGCCTGAATTACTCACACTGAATTTTATAAGGTGGATAGTTTGTTTTTCAAGTTTACTCATAAACATCAGATATTTAAACTGAAACAGTATCCTATAAACACATTACTTATGACAGCAACACCACCATCACAACTTTCTTCAGATATTACCTGCAATATTTCAATACCAGGTCTGTGTCTACATTCAGATTTTGTACCATAGTTCTTATGAGTTGTTTCTTTCTTACTGATGGCTGCCTAAATGCAGTCTGGAAAGAAATCTGCAGATACAAAAAAGGATAGTTTCACAAAGGAATTATTTTCAGTATGCTTGATACTAACCATTTACACTCTTCTATTCCAACTGCTTAACTTCTGGGGTGTTACCATAGGAGTTTCTAAACTCTTAGCATAGGGATGTTGGCGCACCAGAGGAAGTGGTGCTAGAACTCATTACTATTGGCCCCCTTTCAGCAAAGTTTTTAAGCAAGATTCTTGTAAGCAAGACCCTTCCTTCTTAGTAGCAAATGTACCACACATTTAAATCCAGTGCACATCCTGAGAGAAACATGTCTTTGAAAAGCATTTAAAAATTAATCTGCAAGCAACTGCTCTTAAGGAACTCCAACAAATATGAAACATTGTCTCAAAACCAACAGGAACGTCATACTCACACCAAGTTTGTGAAGTTGGATACCCCACTCTGCATCAATAATTAATTCCTCAAATTTGTGTCTCTCTACTGCTTCACTATAGTGACTAGCAAGCTGCGCTCCAACCAGAGCTAATGCCTTAAAAAAGAAAAAAAAAGCGTGAATGAAAAATCTTTGTCTAGTGAGTAGAAAACATGGATTCATTAAATCTAAGTCACTGCACCATCTTGCACAAGCCATAGCTTCTGTGTTTCAATTTCCCAATTTGGAAAATGAGGGTAACCTTTACTGCTGTTCTTCACATTAAGAATAGAGTTCAGATAGAATGAGATGTCACCAGAAATTCCTAAATAAATATATTCTGTCACTTCTTCTCCATTGCCTCATCTTTCCATCCTTCCCTTTATCGTTACCTCAATAAATTTCTCTTTCATTTTTTAAGTTACTATGTGAAAGATACCCTGCCCTTTAAATTATTGCAGTTACAAGCTTACTCAAATTTCTCCAAAAAGCATTCAAACCTTAGCGAGTGCAACTCTAATGCACTGCTACACTGTGTAGTTAACATCCCCAAGTAACATTTTAATAGTATATATATGCCAAGATAAGTATACTGCTTCTCCAGGCTTACCAGAATTTTATCGTAATTTTGCCTTGCGTGGTTTATGGCATTCCACAATTTTTCAAACATATCTTCCTTGGGCAAAATTGTACAGTAACCCAGTGCCAGGTTACGATCTACCGGATGACAGTTGAAAACCTATAGACATTAAATCCACAGCAAACACACTTTAGAAACTGCCAATTAAAACATTTGTGTGTGTGAGAGAGAGAAAGAGAATGTTTTCCAAGTTTATTCTTAAAATACAAAAGGATTATTATTGAAGTAAATGTAATAAAATGCTGGCTACTAGTGTTAAAGGCCAAACAGACCTTTGTATAACTGGACTGGCATTCATGGGTAGCCCTTTAAAACCTTGATTCAATACAAGAAGGTTTTTAGAAATAAGAGAAAACCACCACTTAAAATGAAGAGTATAGTAAATAGGGAGAGAATGTATAATGTTCATGGATGCTCTTATTATTTTATGTTTCAGTAGCACCTGAGGGCTCCAAATGAAATCAGACCCCATTGCACTAATCACTGCACATGCAGAATAAGACAGGCCTCCTTTGGGAATAGTAATTCTCCCTCTTTACAGTGGGGAACTGAGATAGAAATATTAAGGGACTTGTGGGAGATAACATTAGTTGTCTGTGGCAGAACTGGGAACTGAAACCAAGTCTCCAGATCTCCTCAGTCCTAGTCAAGTATCTTAACCACAAGATGAATCACACTATTTAAAGCTGATACTAAGTTCACTTGAGGCCACTACAGACTAAGGGCTCATCTAGACTATGCTAATACATGTCTTCTTCTTATCTCACTTTCAAAAGCAGAGCTTTTGAAAGTGAAAGTAGTTTGGACGCGGCTTTTTTGGCGACCCCCCCCCCTTTCGAAAAGCCATGTAAACCTCATTTTTTGAGGAAGAGTGGCTTTTTGAAAAAGGGGGAGTTCACCGAAAAAGCCATGTGCAAACTACTTTCACTTTAGTGAGATTTGAAGAAGATATGCAAATTCCTGTGGAATTTGCATATCCTCTTTCGACAGTTTAGCGTAGTCTAGATGAGATGTGTATTTGGTATTGGAAAAGCAATACAATAAGGCAATAGTAAGGGTATGGAATGAGCCCTTTAATATTCTTTAGAAGCGACAAAGTAAGGAAAATGAGCTAATAGGAGTTTCTCAGAATTCAAATCACAGTCAGGAAGGTCCCATGCAATGTTTCTGTATGCAGTATGCTTACCTTGTGTAATAAGGACCTGACAGTAGTCACAATCACTGAAGAGGATTTTTTTTTCAAAGCAGTAAGAAAGCTTTTAGCATCAGTTAGCATTTTAGGGCAGACAAGAAAGTAAGTTTTCAGAGTTTTTAAAAAAGCACTTTTACAAATTACTACTTTTCTTGTTATTTAAGAGACATTTGCAAGTTATTTCAGAATGAACTAAATGCTTGAGAAATGTTTCAGATGCAGAGCACTAGCCACGCAAGTCCTCTTGTTTATCCAGAAAGGCACTGTTTGAATTGTGTAACCTGCAACCTTCCCCTCACCATTCTATGGTAATTTCCTCCAATCCTCATGCAAGAGAGAAAAGAAAGAAAGATCAAGGAAGGGTACATTTTATCAGCACCCATTCAACCCACATTTCCTATACAGTCTCTCAAGAGTTTCAGTTAGAATAGTGGTTTTGCAGTGTGGAACAATTTGTCCACTAAAAAGGGAGACCAACAGTTTGTTTCATACAGGCAACTAAACAACTAATCAGATGGTGATGAGATGAACTTCCCTGCTAGAACCTCCAAACAAGCTCAAGGTCCATTCTAATGAGAATGTTCATCATAATAGCTATTCCTCAGTCATATCTGGCAGATTTCTAAAATTCTTTTCCAGTGAAATTCAGCATAAGGTTTGTTCATACCTTCTCACTCAGACATATATCCATGTTGCTTGATACACAGTGCTGAACACAGGATCCAAACAGACAAAAGGTTAGCTGCAAGGCTAACTCATACTGACTGCACTCCATTAGGTTCTGGAACAGTGCAGAAATGGGCTTTTTGACTGGCACCAGAAGATTCTGTCCTACAGAATGTTTTACAAAAAAAAAAAAAAGAATAGGTTATATATTAAGGAAGCTTAGTGGGAATAGGTGGGGTTCATACACGCCCTCCTCCAGCTGCGGGAAGCTGTGTCCAAACAGAACGTTGATAACATTTTCCTTGTTTTACACAAGGAAACTCAGGCACAGAGAAGTAAAAATGATCTGCCCAATGCACTCAGGTGAGTGGGAGATGCAAGTCTTATGACTTCCAATCAAATGCCCTATCCACGGGATCATGTTGCCTCCCTAGTACAGGTTGGACCTCTCTGGTCCAGCATAGTAGGGAATTGACCAGTCCCAAACCAAAGAGTTTGCCAAACTAGAGGTCAATGACGTTTCCTTGGCTACTGGCTTTAGGGCTCCACTCCCAGTCACCAGCCCTTACTCCTCATCCCACTCAGACTCTCCTCCTGGCTGTGGCCAGGCTCTTGGCTACTAACAAGCCCCACTGTCACCAGGCTCTCTGGTCCAGAAACACCTGTGGTCCTGATGCCACAATTTCCACCTCTCCCCCCCAGGGATCTCTGAGGATGCTAGAGCACATCCGATGCTGGATCAGAGAGTCCTGGACGAGAGAGATTCAACCTGTACATCATTAGATAATTGCTTTTCTGTTTCAAGAATGAGTGTAGGTTACCACGAAGTTGTGTTATATCATTCTTGTTCAATCTGTATTTGAGGCCCATTTTTGGACAGTTATATTCATGTTAGATATATACAAATGGACCTGTCCAAAAGTGTTAGACACATGCAGTAGAGCCTTAGAATTATGAACACCTCAGGAATATTCTTCTGAAAAGTTTGTAACTTTGAACAAAAATGCAGTTGCTCTTTCAATAGTTTTCAGCTGAACATTGGGTTAATACAGCTTTGAAACTTTACTATGCAGAAGAAAAATACTGCTTTCCTTTTTTCTTTAGCAGTTTACATTTAACACAGTACTGTTTTATAGTTGATTTTATTTGGATGTATATCTATTGCTGTCTCATACTTCTGGTTCAAAATGATGTGTGTGATTGGTAATTCTGGTGTTCATAACTCTGATTTTCATCTGTAGAATTAAAACCCTCCTATTCTCAATCCACTCATCCACATTCAACCCATCCATGGGGAAGTGCACAGTTTCATAATGTGTGCTGTAATGTAACAGAGATACAGAAGTGAGTTTCATATTCAACAATGAGAGATGAAGAACGATGTTATAGTTCTTCGTGCTCCAGTTTTCCCCATCTATTTGTATGTTATGCCTCCCTCACCTCTTGCCTGTCTTGTTCCC